GGTAATTATTATGCAGAAAATTCGATGCTTGGAGATTAGAAGAAAGTATTGAGTTTCCAAAGTATAATTCAGAGCTGGCAAGGCGTTGTTGAGTTGGTTTTGGACATTTAGAAGATGGACAAAATAAGTTTGACTAGAAGGGCATATAAATCTTCGGTGGAAAGAAGGTGGCATAGGGGTCGTCTCAGGAAGGGTTGAAGGGAGAACAGGTGGTTTAGTGTTAGGTGCTTGAACATCCAACAGGTCTGTGTGAGTGCATTAGATCGGAGTAGAGGCAAGTGTTCTTTTATGACTTGAAATGCTGTTCGGGTGTAAGTAAGGTAACATTTTTGAAGGGATTCCTGGAAATCAATTAGCCAGTGGAGTTAAGTCCTTTTCAGAGAGTGTGCCCTCTGAAAAGGTTAGGACGTTGTATTTCGGAGATTATCCCAACTGTGATGTCAGAACGCTTCTGGCAAGAGAGCAATCGAGTGAATGATATACATATAAATATTGCTAGATGCCTACACGTAGAAATACACTAGTGCAAATTAAATTTCCGACGGTCACATTGCTGCCCGTCTTCCACCGTACGACCTAGAGCACAAAATATTTCCAGTGTTCAATTTCGCTAAGACGCGTTCGCGAAGGAAAACAGCATTATTGCCAATGATGGAGACTTCAGGTAAGGACGCTGTTGCCCCTGCGTACGTGCCAGAGAATAATGATGTATTGTGGTGCCAAATATTGCTGCTTGCCTGGCTTCTCTTGACTTGTTCTCGCGTATTCACAGACAGAAATTTAGGTTGTTCCTCACCATATATTTACAAAGTTTAGATAATATAAAATTTAATCTCCTTTACACTTTCTTTGATGATCATTCATCTTAACTGCAGAACTAATATCACACGGACTGTCTGGACTCATCTCTTGTTTTTTGATGTGTTTGTTCAGGTGATGGCTTCATACCGACCCTGTGTACTTTATGACAGGTCTGGCAAGCATTATATATACGTTTATCTGAGTCTCAAGGATTCGGTTAGGGTAACTGAATGTTCTTAATTCTGCCTATGCACACAGTAGTCACTGCGGTTATTTGAATGATATGCTTTTCCTGTTATTATTGATGATATGCTTTCTCTTAGGACATTTAATCTTTCCGAACAATGCATTCCGTATCTAGTTTTCGCCATTCTTTCCCGATTTTCTTACCTTTGGTTCTGCAGCTATTAAATTCCAACAATCTAATATTCAATCGTTCGTGCACAATGGCGAAATTCTCCTTCAACTCTCTGTTTTCGGCTTTAGTCACCTCAATAGCTTTCCATTGTCCGCATATATACGAGAAGTTATTTTGTTTCCAGTATGATATTTAGTGGGACACCAGTCACGAAGCTCGTCCATCCAAACACTATTTCCCGGACCATCAATATGTCTCCTTAATTAAAATATTTCCTGATACAGCGAGCGTATGTGCGTGCCCGCACGCGCGACACGCACGCACACACGCACACGCACACGCACACACACACACACACACCAATAAAGCTTATCAAGAATCCATAGAAAGCACTCAAATTTGCAACGAAACTAGTATAGAAGCTAAGGGAAATAAACTGACATCAGAAGTCAGGACCAGGAAAAACATAATTACTACGTATAAGATACTGAAGAAGACTTGATAGGGAAACAATATTCAACGGGCGAGAAGACGGCAAGACGGGGACGCAGACAGAAGTTAACGCAAATGAAGAGCATGGGTGTCAAAAAAAATATTTCTTAGCTTCAAGGTAAACAGAAAGTTGAATGACATGGATGAAAAAGTAAAGAAGATAGCATCGAAATGCAGCTTTAGAAGCATATTTTCCACCAGGCTAGGAGAGAGAGAGCGAATCCGTTCACGTTTATTTAAGAGTTGGGGCAAGAGATAAGATTCAACCCAAGAAACAGCGAAGAAGTAGATACAAACCCACAAATGTACGTATATGGCGAAACTATTTGCAATATCGGAGGTAAATTCTATAATTCTGCATTTACGATTCTGGCCTCGCGTCTGCAACAAGCGCCGTGTGTACCGTCATCGTCTTGTCTCGTAAATAGAAAGCCTAGCCAAACTGGCTTCTCTTCCCACTGGCAAGACAAAAAATGACTTATTTGTTTTTTAATGGATTCCTTCATTCTATGTGAGGACATAGTGTATATACGTTGGTACGTGTGGAGAACGAGAGCAGGAGGAAGAAATGTGCACCTCACCCATTTTGTGGTTGCGGGTGTTCGAGCATTAGCTCCTGACCCCAGCATTTACGGCATAAGACTTGTTTAACAAGTTTTTTTGCCTAACGGAGTCCTGTCTTTAGAATTGTGTATGGTGTTTCTTATCACCACATCTTCACCTACGTCATCTTACTTTCTGACCAACCTGAGCATTTTCTAATATCCCTGCGACTCACATGCATCTTAAAATTCCGGCAATGCTCCCTTGAACATGATTCTCGGTTTTAAAACAACTTGCACTAGTCTTCCTGAGCATCCTCTCAGTCGGTAAAGTCGACTGATTCATTTCTTTTAATCTTTCCTGGTAGGTCGGCCTTCACAGCTCTGAAACTAGTCTTGCTGCAGTTCTTTGAGCTTTCGTGAAGTTTAATTTTGCGTTTTATTAGTTGTGGGCTCCAATCAGGTCCTATATGCTTAACTATGGGCCTGAGGTACAGTATGTGGTGTATAGAATCCTGAACCATTTTAATAGGCGTTTTTAAAAGCCTGCATATATCATTAACGCTATTCTCTTGATATGTGCCACCAGTGATATGCTCGGTATTTTGCTTACCCAATTTTCTGATCCATGTTTGCAGTCTAAACACTGTTACTTGTGATAAATGGTGATAAATGGTTTAAAACCGACAAGTTGAAGATAGAGACAAAGATTCCCATATGTTATATAAGTGTCTCAATCTTCAACTGTTACTTGGCTTCTTTCACCTTCAGTAATTTTCATAATTTTTACACTTCCTGGGATTGAACCCAAGTAGCCATTAGTCCAACCATCCTTGTCATCTGGTCAAGTTTCTTACGTCTTTTCATTCCTTCTCTAATTTTTGTTCCCTTTAATTCAACATCTGTAACATTAAAATACGGGACTTTTGCTCATTAGGTATGTTCATATATATGAAGAGCAGTACAGGTCTCAACACTGACGCTTGTTGAGCTCAACATATCATGCTGTCCTCCCCATCTTTATATATACATCCTTACTGCCCATCACTTTACTTGCTTCCCTTTTGTATTCAATGATACAGTGCGATACCTTTCGGGTTATTTGTGTACCTTTCTCATTTTCCCTGCTCACTCTTCTTTGTGGATCAATCTCTGGTGTGGTGCACCAGAGAGTAGGCAGGCATAGGTTTGCCTACAAGAATATCCGTCAGTACGACTTATATACGAAGAAATAATAGAGTTAAACGCACTGTGACGGACCTGACACACATTGAGGAATGAAGAGATGGACAGTACACAAAGCTATATGGTAAGTCAAAACATCTTATCAAAATTCCACATATTCTTAGCGAACATTCTAAATTTGCATTTTACATAATTGACCAACATGTAAATAACCTCCACAAACAAACTGGTAGTTACCGTTCATAGGATGGATATGGGATACACAAACTAGTCGCTTCCGTCCACAAGAAGGATATAGGGATACACAAACTAGTCGCTTCCGTCCACAAGAAGGATATAGGGGTACACAAACTAGTCGCTTCCGTCCACAAGAAGGATATAGGGGGTACACAAACTAGTCGCTTCCGTCCACAGGAAGGATATAGGGGTACACAAACTAGCTGCTACGCTCCTCAGGATGGATATGATAAAAACAAGCTAACGGCTACCGTCCACAGGATGAATATGGTTGAAAAATATTGAAATATTCATGGGGAAGAGCTAAATCCACAAGTCACAGAACTCTTTGAGAATGGAAATCATTAAGATCTGATCCAAGGAAAGGAATGTATCCGATGTAATGTGCTCACCAAAACGATTAAATGCATACATTTCTAGCAAGCAGATACATGTTTATATCATCAATCACTTAATATGGTGTCCTGTGACCTGGTATGGTGTCCCGTGGCCTTGTAGCAACACACTCATTTCATACAATGATCAGTGTCCGTAGTTCGATATCCTGCAAGGGTGAAAACATTGAGCGTGTTTCGTTACACCTACTGTCCCCGTTCACCTAGCAATTAAGTAGGTACCTGGGTGTTAGTCGACTTGTGTAGGTCCCTGGGGAAAAAGATTGAGGACCCCAGTGGAAATAAGACAGTCACTCGATGACGCAGTACCTTTAAGTTATCCTGGGTGGCTAACCCTCCAGGGTTTAAAATTCGAACAAAATCTTATTTCATTACTTAAAGCAGTCAAACATGTCCTTGAACGTACGTGACAGACAATTAAGATTTTACTCAAATGCGCAAGCGAATACAATGACTATGTTCACTCTGTTTGCTAGTCATTTAATATAAGCTAAAATAAATTACTGTATTCGTAAATGAGAGAGAATATAATTAAATGATTGACCAATCATAAAGAAAGATTATAAATCATTGTCCAGTCATAAAGAATGCGTTGAAATAATGTCCAACCATAAAGAATGAGTTGAAATCATTGTCCAGTCGTAATGTGCATAAGTTATTACCTAGTCAGAGGAATGCTAAAATGAACAGCCAGTCATAGATGGGTTAAAATGAATAATCACAATGTAATGAAATTATTGTCCAGCCAGAGAGGTTAAAATACCAATTATGTGTCTAAATCATCCACTCAAAACATTTGTGTTGAATCAATTAACCCATCATGGATGTGTTGAAATAATTGTCAATTCAGACTGTGGTGAAAGAGCTAACGCATCGTAAAATGTGCTGAAATTGTCAGCCAATCAGGGTGTGAGTGTGTGTTGAAACAGTTAACCCCATCACACACATGTCGCAATCATTCACTAGTCAACTGGCATATAGAATACTTACTTGCTATTCCAGTCGCCTGGGGTCCATGTTTCAAACTCTTTCCCTGGATCATAGAAGTTCTCCTCCACGAAAGTTTTGACCTGAGAAAAGAGCAGAACAGATTAAATGTTAAAGAATAGCATAAACCTTTAGATACAGTGGTCTTCAATCTTCTTACACAAGAGGACCACATTTGATAGTCAAATGTATGATGAGGGCCTCACAGTTTTGTTGTCACTGTGCAGTGTGGAACCTATATAAAAGTGAATTCATAATTTCATGTGAGGGCCGCATCCATTTCCCATAAGAGCCACTTGCGGCCCGCGGGCAGCCTGTTGGGGACCCCTGCTTCAAAACACTGTATAGATCCGCATATAAGAAGAAACGTGTCACAAGCTTCTTTATCGTATGTGCGGGTTATTTGTGTATTGTTCCAGTCACGGAATTATGTTTTTTTTTCTATTCTCTACTCTAGAACATATGGTATACCAGAAGAACACGTAGGAACAGGCAAAGGAACAAAGGTTATATCAGGAAATAATAGAGAACGTTGGATCAAGACGATAATGGAAACATATTACATAGGAAAATCATGAATAAGTTAGAACAATGAGAACAGTGTACATACACAAGCGCACATCCCTCAATATATTTTTGAGTTAATAATCATGGACTCACAACCGGGTGAGACTCGGGGACTCCAAGACCGAGCCGGATTAAATAAGGGGACCCCCAAGGAGCAAACCTGAATAATTCAGACTGCCGGGACCAGACAAGCTTTAGAGCCCTTGAACCGGACCTCCCTAGAACCCTTAAACCAGATCTCCCTAGAACCCTCGATCCAGACCTCCCTAGAACCCTTGAACCGGACCTCCCTAGAACCATAGGTTCTTGCATCCCCTGCTAGGAACTCGAGTACTGGTACAGAGACCCTTGTAGACAGGAGCCAGGGATTGTAAGATCGGAGCCATCAGGGCCCGCAGACCTGTCAAGACCGTCCCTCAGGACCTGTCCTGGGCGCCGCCACAGACCTAAGCGGACAGACTACTAACGAGGGAGCAGCCTTGTTTGTCATTTAGATAGTCACCGCAGCCATCAGCAATTAGGGCAATTAGCGCTTGTAACCGACTTAAGCACCTCATTACCCGGTGACACAAGTCAGCGCCTGCGTATGACAGCACCATTTATACTGGCCAGCTGGGTGAAGCTGAGGGGGGGGGGATTGGGACTGCTGCTAGGACGGAGATAGAGCTGGGGTGAGGGTAGCTAGGATAAGTGTAGCCGAGGGTGTTGGGAAGAGTGGCTAGGAAGAGTGTGGCTGGGAAGTGTGCGGGGGCTGGGAAGTGTGTGGGAGCTGGGAAGACTGTGGGGGCTAGGAAGACTGTGGGGGCTGGGAAGATTGTGGGGGCTGGGAAGATTGTGGGGGCTGGGAAGATTGTGGGGGATGGGAAGAGTGTGAGGGCTGGGAGAAGTGGGGGGCTGGGAAAAGTGTGGGGGCTGGGAAAAGTGTGGGTGGCTGGGAAAAGTGTGAGGGCTGGGAAGAGTGTGGGGGCTGGGAAGTGTGTGGGGGCTGGGAAAAGTGTGAGGGCTGGGAGAAGTGGGGGGCTGCGAAAAGTGTGAGGGCTGGGAAGAGTGTGGGGGCTGGGAAGTGTGTGGGGGCTGGGAAAAGTGTGAGGGCTGGGAGAAGTGGGGGGCTGCGAAAAGTGTGGGGGCTGGGAAAATTGAGGGGGTTGGGAAAAGTGTGGGTGGCTGGGAAGTGTGTGGGGGGCTGGGAAGAGTGTGGGAAGGGTATATGTGGCAAATATAAGTGTACCTAGGACAGGTAAACAAAAAATGACTATACTAAATATTAAACAAAAGTGACGAAAAAAATGAATGAATTCAAGTACTACGCAGCATTATTTTACAAAGTAATTTATAATACAGTACTCCGTAATATCAAGTATGTTTATAATGAATAAACAGTACATAATAATAATAATAATAATAATTAGGTAACTCAAGCTACATGTATAAGTTATCACCGACATAAGTCTCAGTTCTCATGTGTATAATTCAGGTGAGCATCACCTTGCGTCACCTCTGCTGCTTTATGTTCTAACACATTTACATTCGGCACAGGTGACCAGATATTACAGGAAGACAGTGTTATGTCGTACTTGATAAATCTACTAAAAAAAACCCCAGACATCTAGCAAATAATTATTGTCATAACAAAAAAGTAATTTAGTAGTAGAAAGGGTAATAGTGTACACAATTCCCTAGACATAGGGATAAAACATAAAGTCAAACTTAGATTGTAAAAGGGATTGAAGGGGGAAACCTTCACAAAAAGTTTTGTAAAGGTTCAAGGATATTCAAATTTAGCAAAAGACCATATGAAAAAACTATGTGTCTAGATTATAGAAGTGGACTTATTAAGGTCAGTGAGGTCAACACTCTCTTAGGTCGGGTAAAATTTTTCAAAAGAGGGACAAATCCTCCTGACGGGGATAGGGCATATGATGACCCACCACGGGAGTTCTGTTCAAACCGATTTTTCAGCTAACTTGCCGTCCCTCCCGTTAAAATACAAAATGACATTTTTGGTATTTTTAAACCCTTTCTTATGCTCTTTCCCTCTATCCTTTCACAAGTTTTTGGAAAGCGCAACTGTGCATGAAAAAGTCGGGTACGGGGGGGGGCGAAGTGCATGAACCAAATGCTTTGAAGCAAAAAAGTTAATTTAGAGAAAATTTACTATCCCAGAGCACTAAGATTTTAAATTTTTGTAATTAAAAATTTTTAGATGTTAATGTATGTTTTTTCCTGAAAATTTATAGAACTAGCGGAGATTAGCCACGAAGCATTTTTTTTCTTTCTCCCGCAAGGGTTATTTTCAGGGTTAAAAAAATTTAGTTTATTAAACCTTGCTTTTCTGATTTTGAATGGAAGAGTGCAAATGGTTTGACCAAAGCTGTCACGGGGGGACAGTATATTCATTTCCCCAGAGTTTTGGGAAACCAACCCCTCTCTCTCTCCCTTTTTCTTTTCCTCTCTCCTCTCTCCTCTCTCTCTCTCTCCAGCGATCGAAATTTTTAGTTTTATTTATTTTTTTTTTCAACTTTTTGGCAACCTTCATAAACAATTCCTTAAATTTATTAAAAATTTTTATTTGGGATATTTTTTTATTCAATAATAAACTTTAAAAGACGGTGTATGAGATTAAATTTTTTTTTTCCTACTAGAAATAAAAACATATTACAGGATGCTTTGTCAACGCTTACTAAACTCGACTCGAAAAAATCGTAATGACACGACTGCAAACAAACCATACCAGGTATGGTTTTTCCCCAATCGTTTCATTACGTTTTCGTGAATTTTGAGGGCTTTGAGGGGACTTCGCAATTTTTGTCAGGGCCACGCTAGAGGGAGATGTCTGTAAAAACTTGCGTTTGGGGTCACAGTGGGCCTAGCAACCTTCCTATGGTGTATAAATATACCTATTGGGTGAATCTTTTGGTGACTAGCGGGGCCCTGGCTAACGCGTGATCTGGAGTTTTGAGACCCGACCCGGTTCTAACCTGCCCATTGTTGGTTTGAACGCTTACTCACTATATAATTTTTTTTTTAAAAAAATTTGGACGTTCATTTACTGTAGATAAAAAAAAAAAAATTCCAAATTTTAAATTTAAAAAGAATTTCTATTATAATTTTATATATATAATATATATATATATATTTTTAAAAAAAAATTTATTTGGGAAAAACAACCACTTGGATAGGGAAAAAAATTTTTTGAATATTTTCCCCAAAACAGAAATAAGAGAAAAAAATATTTAGGTTTTTTTAAAAATTCTGTAAAAAATTTAAAAATTTTTTTTGGGGGGGCAAAAAAAAAGTTCTTTTAAATAAAAAAACTAATTCCTTTTGGGAAAAATTTTTAAAAATTTTTTCCTTATAAAAAAATTTCTTTAAATTTAAAAAGGGAAAAATTTTTTAAAAAAGGATTTAAATTTTAAAAAATTTTTGTAATTACCCTTTTCTTCGGGCAGACTTTTTTATATTTAAAATTTTAAAAATTAAATAATTAAAATTTTAAATGATAATAAAAATGATTTAAATTAAATTATATATGTTTAATTTATAATTTAAGTTAATTTTAAAAATTATTAAATTAAAAATTTTTAAAATAAAAATTAAAAATTTTAAAATTTTATATAAATTTTTATTATAATTTTAAAAAAATTATATTAAAATTAAAAAAATTTTTAAAAATTATTTATTTTTTTTAATAAATTTTTTTTTTTTAAAATTTAAATTAAATTTTTATCAAATTTTTAAAAATAAAAAAATTTATAAAATTTAAAAAAAATTTTATTTTATAAAATTTTGAAAAAATTGGAAAAAGAAAATTAAGGCCCTGTTTTTAATATATATATATATTAATTATTATATATTATACATATATATTTATATATATATATATATATATATATATATATATATATAATATATATATTATATATATATATATATATATATGCAAAACAACCACTCTGAAAGAATAGAGAAATTCCAAGCGCTTTCGTGACTACTCACAATATCAAGGAACTATGAAAGTAAAGCATCCAAGGAAGGTATATAAGGGGTCTGGCCAACACCTCACTATCAGATCCCACAACGGTTAAACACCTGACGCGCGCCGGCCCAACTGGACAGGTCCTTTGCACAACCCACCAACAAACTATTCTACCCAAGAAAATTTTTAAAATTATTATTTGTCCAGTGTATTATTAAATTCTTCCCAAATTCTATTAATTATAAATGGATCTAATTTATATAAACCAAAGGAAATATTCATATTATTGTCAAAACTTCTTTTTATGAAATAAGATTCAATTATATTCCTGTCGACCATGGACTTGCTTGATACTACTTTCTCAACTTTTTGAAAATCAATTAGATGGTTAAAATCTCTTACATGAATAAATAGAGCATTGGAATCTTGTCCAGTTCTAATGCTATATTTATGTTGTTTTAATCTTAGTTCGAGATTTTTACCAGTTTGACCGTAATAAACTTTATTGCAAATTTTACAAGGAATCTTATAGACACATCC